CTGCAAGCCAACCAGGCTGCTCTTCATCGCTTTCAAAACACGAACACTTGTTGCATATTGACATTTCACAAGAAATACAAACGTATTTCGTGTTTGCAAAACACGAATCACACATATCATCAGACGCCATTTTGCGTTGCCGGGATCCGGAAACAGCTGCCGAGCCTCTCATATAACACAGGAAGCCCGGTCAAATCATGGTTATGCGTATGCGCAGCTCATGCAAAACGTACTTGCCCCCCATTTGCGATCAAATATAAATTTATGCATTAGGTTCGGTTCATGAAAAGTTCGTCGTTTGAATTAGAGTAGCTCCGAAGTCGTAATTCGCGAACGCTTCAGTCGATCTTGACGATTGGTTCGATCTTAATATTATGGTCGAACTTAATTGGTTCAGACGTCGTACTTTTCATGATCTTAATTCTTAGCATTTGGTTCGGCGCATGAAAAGTTCGACGTATGAACCGGGCCTTAGAGACGCATCACTCAAATCAAGAAATATTTTACCAATCAACTATTTACTTTATGCAGAACCAGCTGTACTGAAAGTATTGTCCAAGGGTTCATTTGCACTTTAAAAATGGCCCATATAGTTTCTTTATTCTAAACAGGTTTCAGATAAAATCCATCGAGACGGTTTAAAATTTGAGGTTTATTATCGCTTTAAAAATTGTAGACGTCATTGGTGCATAACGTTATCTCGCATAGACGCGTTGAAACTCCCATTTTTTCCAGATTCTAGTGCGGTCTCTATGGTGTTTTACGACTAACACAATCTAACAACAAATGAAAAATGGTTCGCATTTAGTTGGCACCATTATTGGAAGTTATTAAATTGCACTACCCTAAAGGTTTCTACAATACACCTTTCTACAGAGACTGCAGCCATCTTGAATTCTATTTTTTTAATGAAGACAATTATGGGATGCCGAGGTGTAAACTATTGGAAAATTTATAGGCTACACAGCTCTCCTGGTGCCTTTTTATATAACTTTATGCTTTTCAATGAAAAGCTCATCTAAATAGCAATTTAATTTTTTAGCAGTTGGAACGATGTGTGAAACATCAAGACTTAAAAACGTAACCCCGCTAATCTATGCTTTATAAGCTTTCGCTTACACCGTCAGCATCCCTTAATTCAAGATGGCCTCCATATCAGTAAAAACTCCTATGGCAAAACCTTTCCAAAACTCACTCGTTCCTACTTCCTCAACAGATCCCTTTTTCCATAAAAAAATGTTCATGAGTAGCAACTTTTATTATATAACATATAGTGGTATACCGAGTGGTATCAAAGTGATAAAAAGCTTATCCCCGTCATAAAGATATCATTTATATCACACATGTGTGATATCACTCTCGACCAATCAGCTTTCAGTATTTTCGCGCGCTGTCACAGTGTCAAGTGCTTCAACTTCCAATCGAGATTGTTTATCTTGTGCTTTTTCGTCTTTTTCCTTGCTAAAAAACCCGACAAAACAATAGCATCAAGCAGATTTGTTGATATAGCTAATGAAGAGCTGAGTGAGTTTTTAGAAGAGCAGGAAAATGTGAACACAAAGAGGAAAACAATGTATGATGTGGAGCTGTTCAAGGCGTTCGTCCTGAAAAATTATGCCGACTTGCTTCAAGATCGATTGCTTCATGAACTGAAATCAACTGTCTTAAACGAGCTTTCGAAGTTTCTTTATGGAGTTAGAAAGAAAGACGGTTCCGAATACGAGCCATCGAGTTTGCGAGGATTTCTTTCAAGTATTCAACGATATTTGAACAAAGAAAACTACGGCTTGACAATTTTTAACGATGCTCAATTCAAAGGGACCATGGCTACCCTCAAAGCAAAACAAAAAGACCAAAAAGCGAAAGGATGTTGGCAATAAACCTATGACATCTGAACAACTAACTGATGAGGAAATTGAAATACTTTATGAAGCAAAATGTCTCGGAATTGAAAGTCCTCAAGCGTTGATAAACACTCTCTGGTTAAGCACGACGGTTCACTTAGGCTTGAGAGGCGGGAAGGAACAGCGTAAATCACTTTGGGGAGATGTCGTTCTGAAGAAAAATTCAGATGGAAAAGAGTATTTAGAATACTTTATTGAACGACAAACGAAAACAAGGACTGGTTCTGACCCTAGAGATACGCGAAAGATCAAGCCAAGAATTTATGCAAAGCCTGAACTATCTCAAGATAGAGATCCGGTTCGTGTTTACAAGATTTATGCAAGCAAGCGTCCGGAAACCATGAATACAAATGACTTTCCGTTCTACTTGGCGGTCAATAAGGTTCAGCCTTTCTCTCTCTTAATACGAACTTGGTTCAAAGCACAGCCAATTGGAATAAACAAGCTCATTATTATATTGAAAGATATGGTAAACGATGCTAAACTTGGAAATAAAAGGTTGACTAACCACAGTGCTCGAAAGCACCTCGTTCAGAAATTAAACAACGAAGTTCCACCTACTCGATCAGATAATGCAAATTACTGGGCATCGTAATATTAATTCTGTGAACAACTATCCCTCTTTATCAGACAAACAACAGGAAAATATATCGTCCATTTTGTCATTCAAAGGTACAAAATGATAATCCATGTCCCATCGCGTCCACCAGCATCACAACACAGTCAGCGACTGAAGAATACCAGTGTCGTTCTAGCCTTGAAGCTTGTCAGATGCCCTTGACAGGACTGGGATCGCTAATAACTGGTACAATTGCTGGAGGAACATTTACTTTTAATGTAAACGTACTGTAGAACACTCAAGGGCATCAAGAGGAACACGAGAGCCGAAGAGAGTTTAAGCGAATCAGAGTGTTTGAGAGCAGTAGCGACGAAAGTCAATGTTTGCAAAATTTGTTTTTTTTTTAATGTACTTTATGACTTTATTTCAGAAAATTGCAAATATTAGAACGTTTTCCACAACCGGGGTTAGAAACTCTAATGAGTTTGCAATTATGCTAATGAGCTGCATGCCGTACTGACAGCTAAATTATACAGAAATAATCTGTGTGAAGAAGTTTTCATCTTATAATGTTATTCTTATTGCACTTTTCCCAGGATTGTAAACGAACTCATTAAAAAGCTCGCCATTCTAAAACGTGCTTATAAAACTATTAACGCTATCTTACATAAAAAACTCACTAAAAAGTGTTACAAGATTTTTATAGAAGTTTCATTCAATAGCAACGTTTGTAAATTACAAATCTTTGAGTAGAAGTGACGATATACCAGCTCGCTATAACAGTCGAGACTGAAGATTTGATTCAATTTCTTAGTATAGCTTAGTTATTCTAATCATCTAGATACTTGTCCACCTTGCTTAAAATAGCATTTACTTTACTCATAGTTTCCAAAGCCTTTTCGCACATTTTCTTATGGAGGTATTTCCAAAATCCAATTCGCTGGTTAAATGTAAATAAATGGGCAAACATCAGGGGAATTGGCCAGAATTCCCAAACGCAATGGGCGCTATAGACGCAAGCCCGCATGAGATATACCGACCCATAACAGAGCCCCAGATATCGTTCTATAGTGGGCACCGTCACTACCACTGTTTCAACACCCAACTTATTATTGATAACCTTGGACACTTGAGATATGTTCAAGCCTAGTTTCTTGGTAGTACACACGATGTTACATCTTACAGGCTGATGACCCGCATTGGAGCAGGACAGCCTCTGGACCTACCACAAGGTGCAAAACTTCTAGCGGACAGGGCTTATCCTGATGTTGGACTATGTTCAAGCCTGGTTTCTTGGTAGTACACACGATGCTACATCTTACAGGCTGATGACCAGCATTGGACCAGGACAGCCTCTGGACCTACCACAAGGTGCAAAACTTCTAGCGGACAGGGCTTATCCTGATGTTGGACCATTGCTGACGGCAGTAAGAGCAAATAAAAGTGCATTTGCTGAACCCCAGAGAAAGAAGGCGGGCAAGGCACTTTAACACGTATCTGTCACAACGACGAATAACGGTGGAACATGTTTTTAAAGAAATAAGAGTGTACAAAGCTATATCACAGTTATGGATATTTCCTAGATGGCTTCTTCCAGTATGTGTGGAGCTTGCATCATTTCTTGCTGAACGTCGAGTACGCTTATTTGAACATATAACTAAACTAAAAAAATTTTTTCTGTGTACAGAGAATTTCCGTGCTAACTTAGTCCACTCATTTGTATTTTTTTCAGATACGAACGTTGATGTTGAATAAAAATTGTAAAATCTTGTAACACTTGTTGAGTTTTTTATAAATTTAGAACGTTGAGTTCGTTTACATTCCTGGAAATTATGTCAAGTTCACAGAAAGTGCAATAAGAATAACATTTTAAGATTAAAACTTCTTCACGCAGCTTATTGCTGTATAATTTAGCTGGCAGTACGGTATGCAGCTCATTAGCATATTAGCAAACTCTTTAGGATTTCTAACCCAGGTTGTGGGAAAACGTTCTATTTATTCATATGCTATATTCATTTTTCTTATATTTAACTTCCTACAAATTTGGCGCGAACAATATTATTAAAACTTAACATTTTTCATCAAGATTTGTCAAAACAAGTTGTAACGAAACCATTGTTGATGATAATTTTTTTTTAACAATTATTTTATAATGTTATATAATAAACAGAACATTACATGGGCGCTTGGAGATATGAATTTTATCTTCTCGTGTTGAAAAGATATCCCACGAGAAGTGAGCGCAGCGAACTCGTGGGATATCATTCAACACTCGAAGATAAAATTCATAACTCCAAGCGCCCATGTAATATCTTCTACATATGACTAATTTGACAAGAGTCTAAATAAGGAATTTTTGCACTTTTACTGTCAGATTCGGATGCATCTATGAGACGTGAGCGCAGCGAACTCGTGGGATATTATTCAACACTCGAAGATAAAATTCATATCTCCAAGCGCCCATGTAATATCCTCTATATATGACTAATTTGACAAGAGTCTAAATAAGGAATTTTTGCACTTTTACTGTCAGATTCGGATGCATCTATGCCTGCATACCTGCCGAAACAAACCGTCACTCGTGGAAGTACAGTAGAAATCAAGGCTACGGACGACGCCGGTACGAAGTATCGTTGGTGCGTATTGGGCATTTGGAATGCCGCTCACGGCTATCTAAATCCAAGGCTGTTACAAGTACTTAACTATAGCAAGAAAAATCAAGCGAAGGTAATGCCTGACACCGGGTATGAAAGCAGGGTTTCATTCTTTGGAGATTTGGACGTTGGCAAAGCGTGGTTCAGGGTAACTGATGTGAAAGAAGAAGAAAGTAAACTATATGGAATTCGCTGTTATAGTGACCAGCGGAAGGTTTATTATCCAGTGATCAAGATGAAACTGAAGGTCTTGCCCGGTAAGTAGGAGAGAACATTAGGTGCTTTATGTGGTATACATGGGAAGAAAAGGTGGAAATGCGGGTTCGATTAGTATGTGAGTAGTGTTGTTTGCTGGTTGCCGCCTGCGCTTCAAATGGTTTTTATCCGGGTTCTCTCTCATAAGAAAAAAGTTCCAAATTGTAATTCGATCTCACCAGTTGCCTTGTAATAAAGAAATGTAAAAAAGGTAGGAACAGAGGGAAAAAAAAGAAGAAAAGAATGAAAGAAAGAACGAACTAACGAACGAACTAACGAACGAAATAAAAAAAGAAGCCAGTTGTGTGGTGTAAATAGATTTACTGTAGTTGTTTTCGTTTTTCAAGTAAAGTTTCACCTAATAGCATGAACGTTGTCATATAAGAAAACAAATATTAAATAATAATTTTTAATATATTGTTTCCAAAGCTCACTTGATTGATGAGAATAAACAGTTTTAGCATGTACTAACCAGTTAATATCACAAATATCAGTCTATAATTTATAAACATTAAAATAATACTCCTTTTGCGTAAAAAATAATTCATTCCTATTTGTTATTTTGTGATTTGTGATTTGTTTCTACAATTAGGTGCAACCAGCAATTCAAAGCTTAAAAAATATCGGCCATGGAAAACTTTGTCGAAGAATTTTTCGTGAAGAAAATTAGCCCATGGGGTTAATGGTGGTGGGTTGTGTACATTGTGCATTTCGATTGCATTATTTCACTTGTTTTCATTATGGGAGACATTATATTGATCTCCAATCGAAAAAAAAAATGTTTACGTTCTTTCCTCCCGATTTTATTTGCACCTTTCGGTATTAGGCTATTGTTATCGTGGCAGTATAAATATAACCAATCTGACTTTATTCTTCACTTGACTCTGAAGATGACTTCCGCTCAGGTTGTCGACACATCAGTCCCATAAAAAATAATAAAAATATTGTTACGTCGATAAACATCCATTCACCTGGGTTCAGACCATTCTATACAATACATTTTACTTGGCTGTAGGCATTTGTTAATATAAGCCAATGATCTTAGTAGGGCAGTCTGTAATCTGGAGCTTGAATATGGTATGTTTATCTAGTAATTTGGAATTTGAAAATGGTATATGTATATATATCATTTATTCGCTCTACTGATAATCTTCTTGGCTCTTCTTGAACCATTCCACAATAACATACGTCTTTTTATATTCCTATTAGCTGAAAAGGAGTGGGAACCACTGGGTTGCTACGAAGATAGCAGTGATCGCGCCTTGTCGTTTTATCACGGACAAATCAACTTTGATGATTCACCAGGAGGTTTCAAAAGAATGTTTGAAGAGTGCAAAAAAAAAAAAGCAGAGGATAAAGGGTTTGAATACTTTGGAATACAGCACAAGACAGAATGCTGGGCATCGCCAAAAAATGAAGAAATAACCTACAACCTGCACGGTTGTAAAAACAACTGCTGGCGTCACGATGATGGTTTTGGGGTTGGATCCCATTGGTCCAACTTTGTCTATCGCCTTAAAAAAGGTAAAATTCAAATAGACCATGTTCAATATCTTGAAATATAGAGTTGATTGCAAGGCTGTCCTTTCATGGTTCTCCATATGGTGGAAATCGATGGATTGCAAAATGTATTTGTTGGTAGGAATGAAATGTTCGACGCTCCAAAATGTTGCAATAATAAGTAAGCTTTGATAGGAATGCTAGACATTTCACTACTGAACAACATTATAATTCATTTAACATATACAACACCGTATCTATCGATCATTTTGAGGTTTAATTTAACTTTGGAAATTAAAATTTTACTACTCATTCCGGAGTTCCTCGATATCGTGCTAGAATTTTAATGGACTGTTAATTACAGTAATCCATTTTTTGCTGGTCTTTTTTTGCTACATATTTGTGCCTCAATACGATTTTACATTATTATTTGATTTATTTTCTGTATCATGTTCCATTCCTTTCATTCGAAAGCATTTATTTTTAATTTTGCATAACTAATTTTTGTTTACTTAGATTGGAGCAGTTGCAAAGATGGATTCCAGTACAAACTTGTAGCCAAACAAGATACATGCTACGAATGCCCTCCCTACAACGTTAAAATAGAAAAGTCTGAAACTAAAAGAGAATGCTAAATGTCCAGGTAGGTTTAATTCCTTAAAGTAGAAAAGTATGAAACTAAACGAGAATGCTAAATGTCCAGGTAGGTGTCTTTCCTTAAAGTAGCAAACTGAGTCTATAAACTCGCGTACCCGTTACATCTTTAGAGTTTCTACGCCACTGGACTAAAGAGCTCAGTGGTAATGATAGTAGTCTCGTTAGGTATGTGTGAATATCAAAGTTACAATAGCTTCCTCAACTGGTTTACTGTTTCTTTCAGAAAAACGCTCCGGAATTCGACCAGAAAAAACGTAATCCCTTAAAAATTGGCTTTGAATACAGCAAAAATCAATAATACAACTATAAACGTTACATAAGCTAAAAGGTAAAAAAAAAAAAAAAAAAAAAAAAAAAAAAAAAAAAAAAAAAAAAAAAAAAAAAAAACTGTTAAAAGGCACAATATCTAAAATAATTAAAATTGGTAGAATGATTGTAACTTAAAACGAATTAAAAGGTCATCTCAGCATTGCTTTTTTTACTTTTTTCTTTTTCTTTTCTTTTGGTTGTTTGTACCATTCATTCCCAAGTGTATTTTTTCTTTGTTTACCGGTTGAACATGAGGAAGACAAATGAATACGGGTACAACTCAGACAAGTATTTTATTTGCAAGCGAAAAATGTTCCAAAAGCTGCCCCCCAAAATTGACCCGATATCTGGCAAGAGTGTTTGGGTGTGTATTGTAAACTTGAGGAGTTATTAAGGACTGTTGGCGTGGGTGTAGATTAACCTCCCCGCAGTTATATAGCGGGGTTGCTCAAAGGTTGCGTATATATCATATTTAGCTAGTGTAACGTGGTCACCTTTCAACCAATAAGAGTGTTTGTTATATCGTCAAATATATTAACTATATAACAATTGTAGCAGGTGAATAATTCCATTTTACAGAGGCGGCATGTAAACGTTCTAGCCCATGATTTGGGCAAAGTTTGGCCGGAGGTGCTGTTGGTAAGAGCGCATTATTAGATCGGAAAGTTAAACTAGGCTGTTTTTAATAGTAACTAAATCAGATGAACAGCTAGGTACAAGTCCATTAATAGCCTTAAAGTAACAAGACCTTGGTGGCACTGTAGACCGCGTTACCTGGTGGGACGGTTTCAGATACTCTAAGAATCCAAAGGAGAAGATAAAATAAGTTGCAAAGTTTCGAAAGGCAGTGATAGAGCTACCAATGTAAAATATGCCTTTTCATAATCATTGAAAAAGAAACATTTTCAACTCCAATTTCCATCAGTCCGTCAAACCCGAGTTCGGATGTTCGCATACGCCAAGCAGCTTGTTAGTTCTAAAGAGATGGAATTACATTTTGCCTACTGAAGCTAGAAAAGTCGCTAAATCTTAAAGCTTCTTCTTAGCCGGTTTGAACCGCACAGCAGGTTACCTGGTAAAGAGAACCTTTTCGTTAACAGCTTAAGCCCGGGAGGGGGGTACTACCACCCCAACTTGGGTAGGGTTGTGCCGCCAGGACCTCAAAACCCTGACCCTATCCCAGACCTAAAATGTTGATTTTACATACCCTACCCCAGACTAAAACTAAGAATTTTACACCCTATCCCAGACTAAAAGACGGAAAATACGGTTTTACAATCGATTGCAATCAATATTTACTAACATTTTTATTGTTTTTGGTCGGCAGAAAGCGTTGCCTATTCGCCAGGCAAAAACGACCAAATCGTTAACCCTATCCCAGGCTAAAATGATACCCTATCCCAGACCAAATGTCAAAAAATGATACCCTACCCCAGACCCAAAAGCCAAAAAACCATACCCTATAGGGAGGCACATACCCGTATAGCAAATATAGGGGAGTACCCCCCCCCCCCGGGAGCTTAAGTCATCGACCATCTTTTACCTTCGATCCGCATGTAAGCTTCGCTTGTTGTTGTTAATTTTTTATTCTTTGTAATCATTCATATTTGAAATCGATTTTTCCAATATATATTCTCAAATATATTTCGTTTGAAAAAACCAAGCGCATGCCTTTGAATACAACTTTATTTTTTGAGATTTTGCTAGTTGTCGTGATCGTTGTTGTGTAATGACTAATTGCATAATTACTGTAAACAAATCTTGAGCTTCCTTTCAATTTTGTCCGTTAAAAACTTTTTCCAACTTATTTTGCAACATCAGTAACATCATATACTTTTTCACTATCATCTAAGCTTTCCAATATTATGAACGTTTCTTTCAGAACTTATTTACAACTGCAGTAAAACGAAATTATTTTGTGTAAACGAAACCAAGTGAGTGTACTGTAATCAAACCTCGCCAAACAAACTTTGAGCGTCTCTTCACTTCTTGTTTTGCAACACCAGAAATAATCATATCACATACTTTTTTACTGTCATAGATCAAAAGTTGAACTGAACTTTGCTATCCTAATAAACGCCTAAAAAGTAATTCTTCATTTTTTCTTAAATCTGAAACGTTCGATCGTTCTTGGTTCAAACACAACTTTTATACCGAGCACTAAAACTCAATATTAAAGTGCATTTAGTTACACTGTTGAATAGTTAGATAAATTTATCTTACTTAGATAACTAGACAGACGATTAAACCTTCGTATTCTAACCAGATTTTCAGACTGTTGGCAGAGCCAATTTTCACTTTATGTGACGTCGACTATATAATGGGTCATATGTGATAAACCGGTTATAAAATACTTTTGTTTTTTCTAGCAGCAGTAAGGGGGACTCGCGGTCAATGTCAAAGATTTACGGGTTTTACAGGCGGTTTAAGGAAGGCGCCGGCAGCGGGAAATACCCG